ACAATGACTGACACGGAAAAACTCAGCAAACAAGGTCGACAACGGTATTTACACAGTCCCTGTGAACGCCAAGAATATAAGATGAAATGAAAATCACAGGAATTTTGACCGTTTGGGAAGAAGGCGCCATGCTACCGACATTCGTTCACTATTGTGAAGGTGTTTGTATGGTATGGAATGCAATGTTCCCAAGGAAATGGAGGCCCAATCAACGTTCTGATCAACGATCAAATTTTAGAAAGTTGTCATTAAAGATGTAGAAAGTTGTCATTAAGAATAAAGGGTGAGGTCTTTGGCGTTAATCAATTCCACTTAGGATTCGCCCCGCATTCGACATCCGTTCAGAATCGTAGTAGTGATAATGACTTGTAGTGGCAGCAGCTGTATAAGTCAGTGCTTTTATTCTCCCAGACAAGTATGGAAGCAAGTTCCGGGATTCGAGCTTGGACCATGTGTGGTACAGAGCACTACTTGCCACAACGCCAACTTTGACCAAGAAAATTGATATTTGTCTATGAAAAAATATCCTGGCAGATTAAATGATTCGGTTGGGGTCACTGAAACTGGATTTCATCAAACGCCTCATGCCATTATGCAATATTCACAGTGCTGGGAAATGTCCAGAGAAACTTGTGAGAAACAAACCGCATGCCCAGAGGAAACTTGTAGGAAACCGACTGATAAGAGAAAAATAGAGCATCTCGCATCTGAGACAGCATCTGACATCTCTTATCAGTCAGTTGCAATGGCCCAGATAACGAGAATAAAGTAATTAAAACATAATTCAATTAAAAATCGAAGTGGATGGAAACCAAAACGGCCTGACCCGTGACGAAGGTCAACTAAATCATGACGGAGACTGATGACCGCCCTTTTGCGCTCGCTGAAAAAAAGCGACCCGTTTCCGCACTAATAGTTCAGTCATCGATGAATGTGGACGACGTACTGCGTATTGCAACTTCTGTTATGAATCACGATGTTTATAGGTATGAATGCCCTAAAAATCGATGGGTCGTTACTATTCGGTTGCTTCAAATACCCTCTCAAACAAACCGAATACGGGCAATGCGATGCCAGATCGATAGAATGTGGGGGTGGTTTCGAAAGGTTCGGTCCGCAAAAGTACAACATTTCAGTAATTGAAGAGCCTCTACAACATGTGGTTGAGGACATATGACCTTTAGAGTTGTTTACGAACGTCATCGAATATACAAAACACATCAGAGAGGTTTGAAGGCAAAAAACATGAAAAAGTATTATGAAAAAGAGGAAGGAAGGAAATTTAGGACCTACTGGACCAAGGGAGCCAGCCGTTTCTAGGACCATTAGGACTTAGAAACGGCCGGCCGATTTGGTCCTCCTTAGTGTGAATAAAACTAGTCCGCCAGGGATTCTATGTTACTGTACATAGTGTTGAGAAGCTTGACAGCAGGTCTGTAGCACTTTTAGGTGGAAGAAAAGAGGTCAATCACCGAACAAAAGCTACCCAAAGGTCCTGAGATGCAGATGGGTATGTTAGTGGGACCCTTCGACTGTCGTCTTACACTTTCCTTTTTTTCGTCGGAGTACCTACGTAAGCAGAACTTTCATCCTTCTTTTTTTCTTCACTTTTTCGTTAACTCAGAAGAAGTAGGAGCGTGCGCTTTCCAGAAAAAATACCTACGATGAAAAAAAGCTCTGAAGATACCTTTTTTCTTTTTCTTTTCTCTCTTTCTCTCTTTCGTTCTTACAGTTAGTTTTTCTTTATCAGTGTGTGATCACCCAAACGAATCGAGTGAAGAACCATTTTAGCTAAAATTAGTAGGTAGTTCTGGTTTAGTACAGTGGATGGATTTTTCCTTTCAAAAGTTTTGTACCAGTTCCGGTCCTCCCTTCCCTTATTCTTTTAGTTGCATTTTTCAGGGCTAAATGACTCAGCGACAAGTGGTTCCACTACCATACGCATGAATAAATGGTCGAAGATGTCGGCCCAAATCTCGTAAAATTCAGTCATGCAACCGCGCTTTTTCAACTAATTGTTATCAAATTATTCGGAGGAGTAAAAATTTTTCGGTCGCACATCGAGTGGTTCCTGCAGTTCTATCTGCAGACCGAAAAAGCTCCGACTGCCATTCCGGAACTAATCAGAACTCAGGTACGTTGCCCGACCATGAGAGCGGAGCAGAGTCGATAAAGCTACTCTTTTATTCAGAAAGAAAAATAATCCAGTTCTGTCAACTTACTGCTTTTCTTCTCCAGTAGCTCGCTCTGAGCTGAAAGATGGTGAACGCCAAAGCGACCATCAGTCGAGCAGCGATCCGAGATGACATTGCGTGTGAGCATTTTCAATGAGCTTCATCGCCTCCATGACACCTTAGTCAACCATCAACACCGGCAAAGGCTAGCATGGTAAGCAAATCCCTCTTAAAATCGAATTTTTTAAAAAAATTTGAACAACTTACCTGCCTATTCCGCTAAATTCCTTTTATAAGTGTGGTTTGACAGACGATTTTTTTTTGCTTTTTTCACCCAGCGGAAGTATTTTGCTATATAAATCGTTTGAAGCTTTATGATTATTCTATGATTATAGTAAGTTTTATGAAATCATTTGCTTTCTGAAAATCATAGAAACAGTTTTCTTTAGTATCATAGACTGTCTACACTTTTTGATCACTACTCAGAATTCAAAGGTCAATTTCAGTTCGGTTTCATCCATGAGAGTGTTCGGCAACTGATGCTCAGGAAATTCGGTACGGAATTGTGGCAGAATGTTCTGTGAGTTTGAAAACAAGAATATTCATTTTTATCCCAATAATCAACAACAGGGCGGAGACGGTATAGTGGCAAGTGACGAACTGCCAGACACGCTTTGTCACGAGTTCGAATCCTGAATCGATATCCGACTGAGCCAACCAAGCCTTCCATCCTCCCGAGGCCGGTTGATTGGTACCAGGTATCCGTCCAGGAGGGTAAAGGGATCAGTACCTACTTATGAGAGTCTCAATAATTCTGAAAAAGATTAGGGGAAGACCTGTGGAACGGTCAAGGTGATCCTCCTCGCACAAAATACCAATGTTATTCTGGGAACCATACATTTAATTCCTGAACTCGTAAACTGACGAACCCGTCAGCGATGGATGTATCTTCTTGACACATGGATCTATAAGAACATTGCGCTTCATCACCGACATCCATCATTAATATTATGTATTATTGAAATGGTACAACAGCTCTCACTTTCTGAGCCCACAATCTTAATAGAAGTCGCTAAGAGTTTGGCCTGCTAAGTTTACATACTTCCATCTAACGTTCCTCGAAGTGGCTGCCTTCATACTCCGCGATTTGGCCCGCGAGCGAGCGAGCGACCGGAAGCGGCGCTTGCCTCCTTGTTTACAATTGAATCTTAGTCGATACCGCTGAACGAGTAGTCCCTCGGCCGGCTGGCGGACTATGAAAGCAGCCAGGGATTCAACTCACAAAACACAGAAAAAATGTATTATAGAAGGAACGCCCCTTGGCGACCAGCCGCTTTTGGACTGAACGCAAATCCAACAGTGGTATAGCTCAAAGCTTAGTTGTGGTACTCCGGATAAAACTCACCACACACCCTCCCGATGGTTTTTATCTTCTCTTTTTAATTACAGAACTCGTGCCGGCTTTGAAAGCGGGAAGGAGAACATAATCAATCATTATTACCCGGATTCGGATACGTATCTACTAGTGGACAGCGTTGCAATCCTCACAAGTCGGTTTACACTTTTGCAGCTGCCCTTAAATGACATCGATACGTTTTAGAAATGTCACGAGAGCAAGTTTGGGAGCTGTACGGTTCTTTTCTTATTGAATACACGATGGAGATTGGATGGGATGAGCTCATTAGAAACATGAGTCCTAATTTGAAGGTAAATTAGAAGCATCGATGTTCGAAAAACGGTTTCTGTGGACGTTCAGCAAGAAAATTCTGAGATTTTAACGAACAAAAACGTTCTGGAAGAATTGGATCAGCACCAAGGGCGTGGCTTGATGCGAAGTGGGCGTGGCTTGCCGCGCAGGCTCAG